CTGGCCGCTAGAGCGTGCAAATATACCCTCCCGAGCGTCAAAAGAACCAGCCTGCAACGACGCTCTGGAGACAAGGTGTCCGTTCTGTCATCCGAGAGCAGACCGAGTTGGCAACATTGCTCTTTGATGCTTTTTTATCTTAGCGATACATTATTCTACTGTAGGACGCGCTGCACTAGTGAAGGTCGTCGTTGCCAGCCACTCAAGTGTCGTTGGGTCGGCGACCTTCACTCGGAGCGATCCAGACCAGCACTCAATCACCCTCACGGACGAGATACGCACCAACGCACTTTGCGATTGGCTTTGCAACACTCAACCATGTCGGGCTTGAAGACGGCGTTTCGCCACTACCAGCAGTACTTGAAGGCGCCCGTGCCGGGTTGCAGCATCGCGCACGTCGACGACAATATCTTCCACGTGAGCACGCGCCTCGTCGACGGTATCTTTTGCGGCATCTCAGTGCACTGGGAGCTCAAAATCCCGCCGTCGTACCCGCACTCGCCGCCGTTCGGACGCGTTCTGCCCGACTATGCTTTTACGAACGAGTACCACTCGCACGTTTTTCCGGACGGCATCTGCGTCGACGTACTTGCCAACCACGAGTACATGCACCAGAGCGCGTCTCGGTACGGCGGCTGGACGCCCAGCAGCAACCTGACGCTGCTCATGATCTACATGCAAGCCTTCTTGGCCGACCCCGACTATAGCATGCCGTCGGCCGCGGCCATTGCGCGGCTCCGAACCATGGACGCAGCGTACACGTGCGCCGTCTGCGGCCACGACCCCGCGACGATCAAGCTCGAAGACACGGACGAGGTTGAGTCAGAGACCAAGACGCTGACGCCGCACCTCGAGCGCGTCCGCCGCGAGATGGTGTGTCCGATCCGGATGGAAAACCTCGTCGAGCACAACGTGCGGCTCGGGTACCCACTGCGGGTCGACGCAACGCAGCGCCGCATCCAGATCTATCTCTACCCCGAGATCATGTCGCGGGATGCATTTGACGAAGCTTTGGACGCTGCGACGACGCGACATGTGCCTCTGCGCACGCCGACGGGGCAGAGCTACACGGACTGGCTGCCATTGTACTTGCACCCGTCGCACTTTGCACGCCACGGCCGCAACGTCTTTGCGCCCGTCGGCACCATGTCGTATCTGGACGTACTGCTCCGCGCGATGAACTCGCAGATCGTGGCCGTCATGCAGGGCAACGAGCACGAGTCCGAGGCCGCGATCATCGCGTACGCCAACGTGCTGCGCCTTGCGAAAGCGTACCTCGCCGCGATGCCGTCCGCGCAGGCGACGCTCAATAGCCAAGTGGCGTCGTTCGTGCGGACGCCATCGCAGCGGCTCAAGGCGGCGGTGCCGGACCTCGGCGAGTTCTTCATCAAGATCTGCCTCTCGAGCTCGCGCAACCACGACTTTTCGAATGCTGACACAAAGGCCGCGCTCTTTGGCGAGCACTTTGCGCGCCAAGTGCGCTGGATCCGGCAGGCCGACGCGGCGTGCGTCGACTTTGGCTCCGAGTGTCCGAACCGCCTCGGTCGGCTCTTTGCGGCGAGCGAGACCTCGAACCGCATGCTCACGTTTGCGATCGAGATGTCGCGCACGTTTGGCGGCGCCGACTTTGGTACACATATGGACGCGCACTACGGCCTCCCGCCCAGCGCGGTGCTCAGCGCGTTCCAAGACCGCATCAAGCGCATCAAGTCGAGTCTGACCAACTACAACATTTTGATGCAGGCGTGGGGCTACAGCGACCAGATCCAGTCGCCCGACGCGATGCTCGCCGTCTTGCGCGCGGCTGTCGACCAGTCGGCGCGCGCCGGGTACGACGTCTCGGGGCATCGCAGCCAAGCCAATGGTCCGCGAGGCGGCCACAACCACAGCCAGCGTGGTCGAGGTCACAACCAGAATCGTCGGTATTAGTGTCTGTCGTGTGTAATTAATGAATTCATTGTGGAATATGTCTTCTTCTTGAACCGGTTGACCTCGGCGCCACGGTTGTCTCTTGAAAGAGCCGCTCGTCGGTCCAAGGTCGAGGCGTTGGGTCCAGAGCCATGGACCGTGGTGGCGCCTTCTGAAGCGAGTATACTGTAGGACAGGGTCAGAGCAAGGGAACGTGGCAGCGCGGTGTGGCCTCCGGTTCATGTGGACGATGATTGGTGGAATATCTGCATGTCCGGATAGACGTGAAAAAAGTGAAAACAAATTCCCACACGTGTGAAAACAATTGCCACCCTGGCATTTCCACAACCGTGAATACGATGGAGGACAAGACCAAGCCGTCGCTCCGGTCAGTCATCAACAACCTGCAGTCGTGCCTGGACGAGATGCTGCCGGACCAGCTGCGCAACGAGTCGGCGACCGTCTTCCAGCAGCACCGTGCGTCGCACAGGCTCTCCGTCGGTGCCTCATACATGCCATACTGTACGTACTAGTAGTCACGACGCAGCGGCCCGTCCGAGCTGCATGCAATGGTGCATGACTTGTGCATTTGGCGTTTGGACTATGGAATGTGATGGTGGTGGAATGACATGCTGCAGGCGATGGGCAGGTGCGCACCGATTTCGGTGGAAAGTACTGTCGGGTGCGCCCGTTCCTCTGCACTTGCCACGTCATCGTGGGCCAAAGCGCGCTGGGAGGGCCATCGACGTCGACGCAAAGCCAATCCGATCGCGGCATCTGATCCCAGCGGTCATCATGGTGCAACGCTTGGCGCAGCCACTCAATACGCCGACGCCTTCGTGAGCGCGGCCTGTCACTCACGAGTCCCATAGACACGAAGCAGTCTGTCCCAGCCTTCCGCTACCTCTTGCTACTGCATGCATCGCTCGACGACCTACCATACATAGTACTAGTAGTGATGGACCTTGCTGGCATCGTCCACGACGCATCCTCATACATCGGATTACGAAAGCCTTCTGCGATTGACTTCAACATTGAGTGGTCCTGCAGCCAGTGCTTGATTTCTCGCGTGAGAAATCCAGCCGCGCGTTCTTGTGGTGCCAAGAGCGCCTGGGTATCGTTCTTCCGAGGTCCTCTCACATTTAATACCTGGTCGGCGCCGAGGGCAGAGTAGCAGCCACTTGCCTACGTCGCTCGACGTACGTACTCGGCCCACGGCCTTGCCTAGCCGCCTCGGTGCTGCCTACACCCTTCCGTGCGTCGTGTCGCGGCTGCATAGAGCGACGTCGGCCATGGCCGTCGCACGCCGATTTCCGGATAAAATTAGCTGCAAATCTTGCAATAGAATCCAATGGATTTATTTAATCTTCGGTTTTGTATGCCGTCATGTTGAAGAGACAAAAAATTGCGTCGGCCGCCCACTGGCCGGCGTATCCGGACTAGGGAGATCTTTGGAGCTCTGGCAGCCTCATTCTTGAAATTGCCCTTCGCCATGCAAGCCGCCCAGAGCTCCCGCCGCTTCTTCAGCGCCCACGCGCGCAAGTTCTTCGTCGGCGGCAACTGGAAGTGCAACGGGTCGCTCAGCCAGACGCAGGCGCTCGTCGACACGCTCAACACGGCCACGATCCCCAAGAACGTCGAGGTCGTCGTCGCGCCGGCCTCGATCCACGCGCTCACGGTCAAGTCCAAGCTCCGCGCCGACATTGGCGTCTCGGGCCAGGACACGTGGAGCCAGGGTAACGGCGCCTTCACGGGCGAGGTCTCGCCCGAGATGCTCAAGGACGCCGGCATCAACTACGCCATCATTGGCCACTCGGAGCGCCGCCAGAAGGGCGAGTCCAACGACGAGGTCGCCAAGAAGGCCGGCTACGCGCTCAGCAAGGGCGTCTCGGTCATCGCTTGCATTGGCGAGACCAAGGCCGAGCGTGAAGGCCAGCAGACGATGCAGGTCGTGACGGCGCAGCTCGCCGCGTACGCCAAGCACATCTCGGACTGGTCGAACGTCGTCATCGCGTACGAACCGGTCTGGGCCATCGGCACGGGCTTGACTGCTAGCCCCGAGCAGGCGCAGGACGTCCACGCCGGCATCCGCGCGTGGCTCAAGGACCACGTCTCGGCCGCTGCCGCCGACTCGACGCGCGTCATTTACGGCGGGTCGGTCACGGCCTCGAACGCGTCCGAGCTCTCGAAGAAGGCCGACATTGACGGCTTCCTCGTCGGCGGCGCGTCGCTCAAGCCCGACTTCCTCAACATCATCAACTGCCAGAACGACGCGGCCAAGAGCGTCGGCGGCCCTGTCAACGTGGCCATCAACGGCTTTGGCCGCATCGGTCGCCTCGTGCTCCGCGCCGCGGAAAAGAACCCGCTCCTCAACGTGGTCGCGGTCAACGACCCGTTCATCCCGACCGAGTACATGGAGTACATGCTCAAGCACGATACCGTCCACGGCCTCTTTGACGGCACGGTGCGCCACGAGGGCGACCACATCATCGTCAACGACCGCAAGATCCGTGTCTTTGGCGAGAAGGACCCCAAGGCCATCCAGTGGGGCGCCGCCGAGGCCGAGTACGTCGTCGAGTCGACGGGCGCGTTCACGACGCTCGAGAAGGCCTCGGCGCACTTGGTCAACGGCCCGCGCAAGGTCGTCATCTCGGCCCCGTCGGCCGACGCGCCGATGTTTGTCATGGGCGTCAACCACGAGCAGTACGACCGCAGCATGCACGTGGTCTCGAACGCGTCGTGCACGACCAACTGCCTCGCGCCGCTCGCCAAGGTCGTCAACGACAAGTTTGGCATCGTCGAGGGCCTCATGACCACGGTCCACGCGGTGACGGCCACGCAGCTCACGGTCGACGGCCCATCCAAGAAGGACTGGCGCGGCGGCCGCGCGGCGTGCTTCAACATCATCCCGAGCTCGACGGGCGCCGCCAAGGCCGTCGGCAAGGTCATTCCGGAGCTCAACGGCAAGTTGACGGGCATGTCGTTCCGCGTGCCGACGGCCAACGTCTCGGTTGTCGACTTGACGGTCCGCCTCCGCAACAAGGCCTCGTACGAGGAGATCAAGGCCGCGATCAAGCACGCCAGCGAGCACGAGCTCCGGGGCATCCTTGGCTACACGGACACGGCGGTCGTCTCGAGCGACTTCATCTCGGACCCGCGCTCGTCCATCTTTGACGCCGACGCCGGCATTGCGCTCACGGACGACTTTGTCAAGCTCGTGTCGTGGTACGACAACGAGTGGGGCTACTCGAACCGCGTCCTCGACCTCATCACGCACATGGTGCACACCGAGCGCCAGTAAGCGCCTTGTAGTTCTAGTAATGTAATAGCACCTCTGCACCCCTATTCCTTGTCTCTCGACCATGTTCCCTCGACGCGGTCATGGCGTTCGATGCTTGATGCCGAATCTAGCGTCCACTGCGGCAACAAGTGCTGCGGCGATGGCATTGAGCTCGCTGGGACTGATGGTTACAAAGCAGAGATACGCCTCCTCCAGCATGCAGGTGCAGTCGAATCTTGCAGGACCCATCGCAGCCAAGCCAAGAAGACGTGGTCGATACTCTGGACTACATGGCGGCCAGAATCTCCTCCTACCTCCTACCCTCAACTTCCCCGACTGCTTCGCACACTTGAATGAACTTCGCACGATCGATGTGTCGGGCTCACTCGATGCGAAGTGCACGTTACACGTGGCACGTGCCACGTACAAGTAATGCCGCAAATAGTGCAATTCGGCATCGCTTTGGACACGAGTTTCGAGCGCTGTAGGCCGCGCACGACGGTGCAACTTGGTGCTCCGTGCTATACAAAGCAAGCTCAATCACTCTACCACGGATGAGCCATTTTGTATTTTGACCGACGTTGGCCATCAAATCGCAATCGCGAACGTATCGCGACAACTTGCGTGTTATTAGCCACATTATCCGGATATCGGTGCAGCATCACCAGGTCGCGCGATCGACCGTTGTGCGTTCGAAAACGAAATGGCCAAACCTTGGCACAGTGGTAAATAACGCTTTGGAGAGCATGTAAAGCGAGGTCGCATCGACGTACGAGGCGTACAGCCGCCGCGAGACGCGATCCAAGATGCGCGCCAAACTAAGGTCGTAGTGGCATCGTAGCGGCACAACGCACGCCAAACAAAGATCGTAGTGCCATCTTAGAGGCAGGACGCCACGACGCCGACGCCGCTTGCCGACAACATCACATTTGAAACGGAATCGCCCAAAGCTCGTACAGTGATAGAAGACACTTTGGAAAGCGGAGCAGACTGCGATACGTCGTCGTTACCGTCGTACAACGCGCGCAATTGTCGACTACAAATACAAAGCGCTCTTAAAAGGTTAAAATGCAAATGACTGCATGGGCACGCCGTTGGCGTCGTCTTCTGCACTTGTAGCAACGGTCTCCCCTTCCAGCGGATCAAGATTGCGATTCCTAGCACCATTCGTGGATTTACGATGTCCAGCACATTATGTGGAGCGTTTGGAAAGGCTTGTAGCTCACAATGCTCGGGCTTTCGCACTCGCAGTGATCTAGTATCACAACACGAGTGATGGTATTTATGCGCCCTCGTATGTCAGAGGTCGCGAAATATCGATTTCTATGACGTGGCACTCGGAGAATGTCCCATTTCGGCGCAACCGTTCAATGGTGTAAAAACAAGTGTAAAAGCGAGCACGACAAAGGCGAAACGGAGTGCTTTTACCAGAGAAGGATAGCAGCCTTGAGCGCTGCTCATTCCGCAATTTGCGCTGCAGGGCCTCGGCCGCACGGCACCGCGTCGCACGGCAGTGCGGTCGCAAGCGGGCGTCTTGTCGACTGTGGACGGTCTCGTGTGGCCGAGGTCCTTCTTTCGCCGCGCATCTCTGCGCTACAGGACGTTGGCTTGCCAGGTACGCAAAGATCGCAGCGTCTTCATGCAGCATGCGAGCTTGGGTCTGCGTCGTCGAGGATCGATGATCACCACTCTCGATTGAATTGATGGTATCCGAAACGTGTTGAGCAGCGTCGCAGCCATCGAGCGCCTGCATTAGTAGCTTGGCGTAGGTGGGTACTTGCGCGCAAGAGGCTTGCGGAGCTGTCGCATCCGTATTG